ACTGGAATAGGACACGCTGCATCTTTCACACTTCTGCTGTTTGGACAGTTTTCCCTATTCAGGAGAAATTCTCCATAGTCCATCTCTGACTATTTTAAGTTCACTTTGCATCTCTTACACAGTGCTAAGTGGGCTCAGAAAGCCAGAGAATCCAGCCTAAAATATCAGTGTAAGTACTCCCAAGAGGGAGATGGCAACGATAGTCAAGGTGTATGTAAACTCAGAGAAAAAATAAGAGCAAACACACACCTTAGCAATTAGACTGTACAAACTTTCATACACGTGAGAGATGTAGTGAGGCAATATCTTTTATTGGACCAACTACTGCTGGTGAGAGAGACAAGCTTTCAAGCCGCACAGAGCTCGTCTTCAGGTCTGGGAAAGGAACTCCCACAATCGCACAGAAATGCAAAGTGGAACAGATTGTTTAGCATAAGTAGATAGCTCATGTTGTAAGGGGCCATGCAAAGTAGAGTGTCCTGTTAACACCTCTGCAATCATAGGCTATAAAGAGGGAATTAGTGGGTTACAGAGTGTTGTAATAAGCCCTAAATCCAATGTGTGTTTCCACCACAACTTCAACCACCACAGTCAACTCTCTCTGGAACACTCCCACACTAGCATCAGCTCCCTGGATACTACAATCCCCTTCAGCAATGGAACACTATAGACAACCAAGTGCAAGAAACCCACAGATCACCTCACCTATCTTCATAGATCCAGTAACCACCCCAAACACACGTAGAAATCTGTTCTCTACAATCAGGCATTCAGATACCCCAGAATATGCTCTGAGGAGAAACTCCGGGATATACACCTTAACACGCTTAAAACCACCTTCACCAAACAAGGATGCTACACTAGAGAAGTAGATTGGATCATGCAAAACCACCCTTCCCAATACATGGAGAGAACCTGCTTCAATAGAGAAATAAAACCCCCTCTGACCTCACACCCCTAGCTGTCACCTACCACCCCATACTGGAACCCATACAGAGTATCATCAAACAATTACAACCCACACTCGATGGAGATCCAATCCTTTAAAAAATCTTTCCAGAACCCCCACATTTGGCCTTCAAACAACCCCCCAGCCTCTCCAAGCTCATCATCAGAAGCCACCTCCCCGCAGATCAGGACACAGTAACTCAAAGCAATAGTAGACCCTTCCAGAACAACCGATGCAAAACCTGCAGCCATATCTTCATTGCTACAATAATCAACACCCCCCACAAACCACCTTTCAAGATCCATGGATCCTACATATGCTCTCACAACATGTAGTGTACCTCATCCAGTGCACTAAATGCCCCGATAACAATTATGTCGGTGAAACCAGACAATCACTATGCTCTTGAATGAACTCATGCAGGAAAATGATCAAAAACACCCTATCACCTTTCGGTGAACACTTTTCACAGAATAATCACTTCATATCTGACCTATCTGTCCTCATTCTCAAAGGAAACTTGCACAACACTTTCAAAAGACAAACCTGAGAGCTTAAATTCATTACTCTGGTAGACACTAAAAATCATGGACTGAATAGAGACACTGCATTCATGGCTTATTACAACAATCTGTAACCCACTAGCTCCCTCTTTTTGTGCAATGACTGCAGAGGTGGTAACGGGCCACTCTACCTTGAATGGTCCCTTTCAATATGTGTTATCTGCTTATGCTAAACAACTGGTTCCACCTTGCATTTCTGTGTGAATCTGGGAGTTCCCTTCCCAGACCTGACGAAGAGCTCTGTATGCGAAAGCTTGTCTCTCTCACCAACATAAGTTGGTCCTTGTCTCTCTCTACATCTGAGAGATGCAATTATTTGTAGGGCTTCTAGACTAGATCTAAAGCTTTATTTTAACTGTGCTTATTAGATGTTGTAAATATCTCCAATGAAATTGCATTAAAAATGGAGCTTCTGACACCATGTGGAGATCTTTGGCAACATGTTGTTTAGAACTAGTTCTGCTGCTCTGTATGCATAAATTCTGTATCTCTGCCACCCATCCTCATTATCACTGAAGGGTGAGAGCATGAAAACAGGATTTTGGGGTCTATAATCCCTCATGTGCTCCTGTTGCTTTCCTTCCTAGTACTAATCCCCTGTGACTACCCTGTTAGTTGCTCTTGACGAAGTTCTGATGTCACAAACAGAGGATTATGATACCAGGCAAGGACTGTAAGTAGCAGGAGCAAATGAACTCTCAGAATAAAGGATTTCGTTACCATGTAAATGTCCCATAGTACTAAGGAGTGAGGCAAGGTATAATACCCCAGATCTGTGCTGTGCAATCACAAATGACGCTAAATCCAGCAGATTTTCAAGCTTTTTCTGTGAAGTGTCATGAGGATTTTAAGATTCCTCCTCAGACTATCGTCATTGGGCTATTTTATTTTTTCCTCATTACTTTTAAGGCTCCATCTGCATTACATAACACCCATGTCATGGTTGTTCCCTGTAAAATGCTGTTAGGAGACCTTGTTACTATGTCCTTCAGCACTCCCTGTGCCCCCACTGACTAGTGACAGCCTCTTTTGGTACCAGGCAGGGCGTGGCTCAGATTCCCAAGTCATTACTGATACTTCTGACTCGGCCTGTTCATAGGGAGCATTCTGGTCCCTCCTCTCTGAAGCATCCCAACAGAGGTGGTGCCCACTGAATGATCTCTGCTGCCAAATCCATATACCTGAAATAAAGTAAAGTTTCTTAGGACAGTATGGAAAGTGGAGAGAAAATGACAAATAAGGCTAATTAGAAATAATTAGCTGCTAGGTAAAGCTGCGCTAGGTGGGTGCATCGTTGGTGTTGTGGGAATATTAACAGGATTTCTTAACTTGTCTGTAAATTGCTCCAAGAGCACCAATATTTCACAGACGACAGGGTTTGGGGTTAGGCTAGGGGTGTGTGTGTGTGTGTGAGGGTGCTTTTCAGTGTCCTGCAGTACAGAGGAAAGGTAGCTCCCTTTGACGCCCCACCCCTTCTCCTCTTCCTCTGCTTACTCAGAAAATCTTAGGCAAAAATGACAGTCGAGGATCTATTTCAGGCTGTTAAACTAACCTCTGTGTGGGTCAGAGTAAAACTAACCTCCCCTCCTCTGTGTGGGTCAGGGTAAAACTAACCTCCCCTCCTCTGTGTGGGTCAGGGTAAGTCTGAAGTGGGCATCAGCTCTCCCATGCAACCCACTTATGTGTCTCTCTGTGTATCTATATATAAATGGAGTTTGTTTGTGTGTGTGTGTGTGTGTCGTTCGCACACGCGCTCTCTCTCTCTCAACACTCACACACATATACATGGTCAAATTTTGTTCTCCGTCTACATTGCTGAAAATCTGGAAGAACTCCATTTGCATGCATCAGGATTTATGCAGGTGTAGCTAAACACACACACACACACGCCCCCACCCACCGCTAGCTACATGTGAGAGAGAGAGAGCGAAACCCCTTTCTTCCAAACCTGGAGTGCCCCATTTTCCTGTTGTTGTTACCCCCGTTCCATAGCTGAATTCACTTGGGCGCTTTGTCAGACACGTAGATGTTTGCAACCGAACTGCCTTTATATTTTCCTGAGGCTTTTTTGCAGAGCAGTTTGGATTGTGACAAAAGCTCAACGTTTTTCTGCTGCACTAATAGCCAGTTATACTCCCGACCTGCTGCTGTTCACATTGCTCTGTCAGAACAGTAGGCAGCTGCTGGCACTTCACCAACAGGCAAGTCTAAAGTGGGACGCCTGCTAGAGGGGCAGCCAGAAAGGCCTCAGGTTTGTCCCAGGCACTCAGTCAGAAAGCTTGACTTTTAAATTTGCCCAGTGAACCCAGTCCATTCAGGGAGGGCACAGCTGCTGTAAAAGAAGCAAGACACGATCCCTCTGCCTGTGACAGCTGAGATGTGAAGTGATTAGGAGAGGCTGAGAGAGAGGGATTCCTGGGGTGGGAGGCAAGCACGTAAAGCCCAGAGATTCAGAGATCACTCAAAGTCAAATTGATCCATTCTATTTTCATGCTAGGGAGCACGATCTTGTGGTTAGAGCAGGGACTGAGACTCAGGGTTCCAAAGTTCTATTCCTGCCTAGGCCACTCATTTGGGGTGTGGCATAGGGCAAATCACTGGGGTCACATTTTTCCATTTTGGGGGAGTAGGGAAGGAGGTTAGACCAGTAGGAGCTGAGCTCCTTTTACCTGGTAACCATTCTTTGCTGACCTTATATGTGTCAAACTAGCAGAGTATCTCTGAGCAGGATTTCAATATTAGACTATCCCCCAGAACAGCCAAGCAATGAAAGCATGTTTGGTTGGCAAATGCAGTCCAAAAGGGAGAGCTGAAAACTCTTCATACTGAAGAGTTAAACCATTCAACCAGAGTTGCCCATTTTCTGCCCATGTGAAGGTCTTAATGGCAGGTTCCCTGATGGCCCTATGTAAAATGGGACAGAGTGCAGTAACTCTCACCTTTAATACAAAGGAGCAGCCTGGTGAGAGTGCAGGTTCCAGGTTGCAAAGTTTCATCTTGATCTAAATGGCCAGGTCGCTTGGACCAAGCTGAAGCATTGGCTGCTGGCCTAGTGCTCCTTAAAGCCTGCATCTTTGTAACAAAGAGGAAGGGCAGCCTTCAGACCAACCTGCCCAATGGGCTACCCTTGCTTCAAATGAAGTGTCACTGCCGATGAGTCAGATAGAGAAAAGACCAGGATAAACATGATGGCTCTCCGCCTCATTGGCTGAACACTAGCCAGACTAAACATTTCCGCTGAGCCTGCGTAAGAGGGAATGTGTTGTTCACTACTCCTTTCTGTGGTGTGTCACCGGTTGCTGTTTGTTGCTGAGCGTGCAGTTCTCTGTGTGTTTTGTTTACCCTGAATTTCTGTTGCATGTCCAAGAATGGAAAAAGTGTTTGGGTTACTTTTTTCTCTACTGCATGATGAGGATAACGAAGCAGAGCTACCAGTTAACCATTCCTCCTGGTTTTGTCTCACGCTTTCCTTCTTGTCCCATTTCCAGGACCGAGCACCACCTGCCAAGAAGATTCCTGTGCAAATCAGGGCATCTGTAATCAGCAATGGGAAGGTTTTACCTGCGACTGTTCCATGACTTCATACTCTGGGAGCCAGTGCAATGACCGTGAGTGCCAGCTTTTCCTGTCTGGGACTTAGTAGGGAGTTGGGAGGTGTGTGTTGCGGGGGCATAGAAAACAATTAGGGTGGGTACTTCTAGAACACAGCTTTCCCAATAGCAAAGCCAAATCATCTGCTTCATAGAAAGAAACTTAAAAGGCCAGATTCCTTGAAGCAATATCCAGTAGACTATTTTCTCTTTGATCTAGTTTTAATGTAATCCTTGCTGAATGTGCACTTCCTGTTTTCATTTTTACAAAGGGATCTAATGACAATGACCACTGAATGTCTGGGTTTACAGAAACCAGGCATAATTACACATGCTGGGTGATAATTAGACTTGTACAAAACTTGGCACGTTTTGGTTCATATAGTTTTGTGGTCAGAGTCTTGCTTTGGGTTTGTTTTCATCTGAATCCCTATGATAAAGTCGTACCCCCCCAAATGAAACCGCTGAACATCACTCCACTCTGAGAATAACAAGGATTCTTGAAGTGCTGGCTTTCTGTAAATATGGAGATTTGGGCTCCGATTACTGAAGTGCTTTGGTTAAAATTGGGATGGGAGATTAAATGTGGAAGAGCAATGTAATTGTATTCCTCCAAATGTTGAACTCCAAGACATTGAGTGTTCTCCCCTCATCAGATCTGCCCTAAGGCCTCTGATTAATAATGAAGTTGAAAAAATTGTGAACTGTGTGTAGATAATTTTCCCTCCTTCAACAGCCTTTGCTGACATCTAAGGGAAGCAGCTGGGTTCAGGACCATCACGTCCAATTTCCTTTATTTTACAAAATACAGTGTTTTACTGCAGTGGTCCAGAACACAGGAGTAAGCACGGCATTGTGGGCTAGTACTACAATACGTGCAGTATTGTGCTGTATTTACTGTAGTGCTCATTCATTTTGAGTGAATACTGCAGCTAGTACAGCATTGTGTGCTCGAGAACTTTGGACCAGTACTGAATCATGATGATTTAAATATCAACATTTACAGTATGTTTTTTATTAGAGTTTCAAAGGTCTGGCTGATTAAGTACTAGACACTAGTAACATTTCTACCCTTGCCCACTGGAACTGTCCGACCAAACCTCTGGGACTGAAATTCTCCCCAAAGAGGGGATCCTCAAAAGTACCCCACCACATCCCCATTCCTCTCATGGGCTGTGAAGCTTGGCCTTCCACAAATCAATGAGAGCACATTTTGGCCCAGGGTGTCTACCAGTGTTCTGTTTGAAAAGAGATTCACAGCATTGTCTGGGCCAATGGCAGGTAAGCTCTGATCTCGGGCTGCATAGCAGACACCATCACTATCCCCTTGCCATGCTGACCTCTCTCCCCGTAGTTCTCTTCCACTCTTTCATAAAATGACCAGTGTAGCTCCCTGTTTGTCACATCTGGTCGCTAGTCCCCCACTTCTGAGCACTGCTCTATCGTTCAGTTTCAGCTTGCTAAGCAAATCATGTTATAGGGCTAATAGCGTAGAGGAAACCCTAGGTTGGAATCTATTAAGCAGCATTTAAGTGAGTGCCTTGGAGAGCTCTAAAGGGATTATTGACATTGTGTTCTTCCTTGTTCCTAATGGGCTTCCGGGCTCCAGAGTGTTGCCGTGCCCTTGTTACACTATTGCTAATGAATTCAGGCATGCTCTGAAGTGTCAACAAGCCAGGTTCCTGAGTCTGTAATTGGGCATTCCTTGCCACTTTGAAGCTGGCAGCTGGAAAGCCATGCAGGGCAGTCAGAGAGTAGTTTTGATCTGAGTGATGGTGACTCAGATGCGGTGACCAGCTTCCAAATGCCAGCGGGTGCTTGTATGTGCCCTTGCCAGTGAATCGGAAATGCTCGCGGGAGGATGTGTGTCTGAAAAAGAGCTGGGAAGGTAAGTCACACTGACTGCTCCAAGGCAGCAAGAGTCCAGCTGGGATCTGCACAAGGTACGTGTGCCATCTTGTTGTGTTAAAAATCTCTGCCAAGCATTGAGGCTTGAGATGCCTTTTCCTGTCACTGGTCACCTCACTTCTGCTACAAAGCAAGGGTTGCTGCAGTTGGCTTGTCTTCCATGTCTGTTCAACATGTTTCTTATTACACCTTGTCTGATGCAAACAGAAGTGCTAGTATCGTATTATGAGAGTGAATTATGTGTCATGTGAATTGGATTTAGTGGGGTGGCTGGCAGGAGAAAATAGCCCACTCTGAAACCTTCCTCCTCGCAAGCTGTAGCCTTAGTTGCCATTTAGGAATGTGTTAGGAACTGCTGGCTCAAGAAGTTTTTTTAAACAGTCTGTCTCTGTTATTTTGGTAGCTGCTCATCAAATAAATACATTAGGGTCAATTTCTACTCTTGCACTTGTGTAAGTGCATGGCTGCAGTACCCATTTTATATTGAAGACTAATCAGTGGAGTTACTACAGATTTATGCTACTGTATATGAAAGCAAAATTTGGCCCAGATGAACTGCTTTCTCATTCCATTTCGATAAAGAGCACACATGTCCTCTTTGGGATGACTGCTCTGGGATAGATTCAGTGCAGCACATTTCAGTAATACTGTGGGATGGATAAATGGCACAGCTAGTCCATTTAAATGAATCTCTCAGTAGCTGCTTTATCTAGTCCCCAGTAACCAGTAGGTGTGAATTGTAACTTGCTAGCATAAACCTTGCAGACTGAAGGAGTCTTCTGTGTTGACTGGTCGGCTCAAGAAGGCTTGGTGACATAGTAATCCTCACTTGGAGCAATTAGTCTAATTCAATCCCACAACTAGGACTTTCTGTACCTTTCTGGAATGGACTCTCTGCTGCTATTGCACTTCCCAGTTTGGATATAAATGGGAAAAAATGATACATTATATAGTGTACAAGCTGATTAGAAAACAATGAATAATTTTAGAATATGGGCTGCAAAAATGCGTAATCAGTCATGATCTAGTGCTACTGGTTTCCTGGTTTCTGCCTTGGATACTGATCTGTACTAAAACAGCAAGCAGTGAGAGTGTGTGGGAGAGTCAAAGAAATGTCTAAAGTTCTGGAAATGTGGGTTCAATTCTGCTCCCACCTGGGACTGCTACTCGTTAGTGATGGAGCAATTCTGGTCAATTGGTCCAGTCTTTTTGACCTGCAACTCAACTTTCAAATGTGGACAGCTTGATAAGGTGGAGGAATCCAGCATTAGGATGCTACACTTGGCACTTATGGATATTAATCAGGCATTGACATGCCTACCTGTCACATTGAGCATCCAAATGCAAGACTTTTTCGTGTGCTGCTAAGGTACTAAATTTCCAAATTAGGACACAATGTCAGTGCAATCGAATAAGTCAGATCTTTGGAGCCTCCCAGCCTAGCTAGATTTGTTCAGTAAAGACACAAAGGACTTGTCTAAACATACAACGCTCTATGGTGACAGGGGAGAGCTCTCCCGTTGGCAGAACAAAACTACCTCCACCAGAGGCAGTAGCTATGTCCGCAGGAGAAGCTCTTCCATCGACAGTGCTGTCCACACCAGTGCTTAGGTTGGTGCAATTTATGTCGCTAGGGAGTGGTTTATTCACACCCCTGAATAATTTATGCCAGCGTAAGTTTATAGTGTAGACATAGCCTAGGTCTTTACTTTAACACTGGACCTTTAAGGTATTCATTCCAGGCTCCCAGTAACTTGAGACGTACCATCTGCAAAAATTGTTGTCTGTAATCTTGGTCATGGAACTATAATGTGCCCCATATCCCTGTAGTCAGACCCTCAGATCGTCCTCTATAGTGAAGTCATATAAAGCTAGGCTTCACAGATCCAGCTAAAGGGAATGCAGCAGGGCGGGATGAAACTACATCTCAGAGAGAGCTGCTACTTACTCTGTGTCTCATGTAGATGGCAAATGTTTTCAGGAGGAGTCACCAGGCTGATTCAGGTGTGTATTAATAGAGGCTCATTGTCTGTAACAGATCGATAGCTAGTGGCGTGGCTAGAGCAAATAGGAGAGTGTAAAGCACCTTTCCAAACAGCTGTCTGGTGGAGTCGTTAAGTCTGTCTGTTGGCTATCGAGCAGATTTCTGGTTTTATTTATTTATTTTTAAAATTATAGGTTGTAATATTGATCCAAGCTGTTAAAACAAGTTTTCCATTCAGTCTGCAGGAAAAAGAAGCAGTCCATGTTTGCTCATCCGTTGTATGTCTTCTTTCACACTTCCAAAGTGTGCATTGCTACACACAGAGTGATCTTCTTACTCGAACATTGGTGCTAGTAGGTGAGACGTGCTCGTTTTGTTGCCTGGGGAAGTGGTAATATGGGACTGTTGTTCTTTTCACAGTAACTGGCAGCATTTTTCATCAAAGGACCCTTTCCATGTGATTTATAACCCATGCACTGCTTCTTTGATCTGGTGAATCCCATTAGTGTGTGTGGGGTGGGGGAGAGGAGAGAGGGAGTCAGGGTTACTTCCTCCATGCATGTGACTCATTCATATAGTAATGGCTTTGTCATGATCAAGCCCCCCTGAACTCCAGCTCTGTATTTGACGGGGGGGCTGGTTCATGTTAGTGGAGCTCTCTTGTCCTTCAGCTCAGTTAAAAATGTCAGCGCCAAAATTAGCAGTTTCTGAATAAATCTCTGAACAAAACTTTTGAATAAAGGTCAGAATGTGATGGGCCTAATAACAGGGAAGTAGGAACAGGCCCTCTGTGAACATTGTGGCCCTGCCATCTTCCTCTGCACTTTGCTCTTCGTGTTTTTTACATTGAGTGAATTTAGCACTGTTGATAGATGCTAGATTGACAACTCCAGAGTCCAAAGGCCTGTAGAGTAGGTGGACAATGAGCAGTGACAGGACAAACTTGACTCATCCCGCCTAAAGAATGTGGTACAACCCTGACCTTCAGTAATGAAATGGCGATTTAGCCTCCATGTGACATTCAGTCCCTGGATTCTCTGCTGAGACTCCCAGCAAGGAGGACAGTTAAAGCAGTAATGATGAGGGCTTTTTATGAAGTGCTCACCTGCCTCAGAGAACAGGACTA